TAAACTTAATACCTCACCGTTGGATGTAGTTTCATTTTTTTATCAGAACATCCTCATACAATTACAAATTTATTTCATATAAAAGTAACTTCTGATCACACTATTTACACGTTTATGTACAGTAATAACATACATTTATAATCGGTCGTAGTAAACAAACCTTATCCCCAATAATAATCTTAACTTTAAAAAGTTATCCTTAACAATTCCCATTCATGAATGCATCTAGGGCAAAACTAATAATTCCAAAATTAAAAAGTCTATCATCTATATTGTCGGAAAACGTGCTTGTCCTCGGAACTGTTTATTAGTTTGTCCGGAAATATCAAAGTCACCAATCAGATTATAGTAGTTGGGTAGCTTATCATTAACACAAAGATTGGATCATGACTTGGCTTGCGACTTGTTGTGGAAAACAGTTTTCAGCACAAGACACTTTTATCGTAGTTTTAATTACTGCCCAGCCCAGTAATATTCAATAATTACATAACCGTATCCCTATAGGAAACTGTTATAAATTCCTAATATGCAATACAGTATTGTAATACAAATTCACTGTTTGAAATTGTTTACACACCGGTGGCGTAATGAATTTACATCAAGACCGAATAAAAGAGGTCTTTAAGTTAGTAAAAGTCCCACCACTATCGTCTACATACTTTGAGTTATCAAACATAGAACCACCAACGACAAATGCACCGTAACGTACACGCTAGAGCTATAGTTAATCAACTACTGGTAGCCTATTTGAGGTTCACATAAACTTCAGTCATTCCTTCAACTATACAAGTAACCGCTCTATTTCCGTGTCACTGTCATGTAGCTAACAATCAACAATCATATTCTAATTTTCATAGTACAAAAAATGTAGCAGGAGTTCAAGTTTAAAAAATCTGCGCACATGTAGAAAGCAGCTATTAATTACAAAATATTACAAAATCCATAGCGTATTGCATATTTTCATTTTTTACACTGCGAATAATATGGTACATATTTGTTTTCTATAATCATCTAAGTTATCTAGCGTGGCGAGAGCTCGTTATGTTGCATGTCGGTTTGCTGTAACGTATGTATACACTTTGTTTGAGGTTAACCTGCTTATAACTGGATCGATAAACTTGAGGTCCTAGGTCCATGTGGAAGAGCAGTTCATTGCAAAATTTGAATAGTACAGTACAAGAAACCTGTAGTCTCGGCCTCACCTCCACTGCACTTACTTATAGTCATCCTCGGAGTCAGTGACCTTGACGTCTCTGTGACCTTGGCTCGACCTCTGGTCTGAGGTCGCAGTGAGAAGCTCCTTCCTCAGTGAAGACTGAAGGGTGATCGGACCTTTTAAACAAACCCTGTCGCCCGGTCATCAAGGTGCAGTTTGTCCCGCGTGCCAGCAATAATCAGGACATTGACACCATTTGCCATGCTAATTTCTTACTTTCATGAATATCAAACACACACATGATTTAAACCAAAGATTTGTTTTTCAAATCGACCGAAAAATAAACTACCCTCATGCTTCTTGCGTGCACAAGTAAATATTGTAAGCCTAAAGATGAAAGAAATTAAGAATAAAAAAAATAATGATACATTGTAATGTATTTGTTGGAGCACACTTTATAAGTACCGGTATTACATATTCGCTGCCAAGTATAGGTTGATAGGATTTAAAAAAATACTATTATTCGTATTAATAGAACTGATTTGATCAATAGTATTCTGAAATAATGCGATTAAACGACGTTCCTATGTTGTCATGGTAGTGCAGCGCACAGCGCACTGTTGTAGGCCCAAAAGAGTGGAAGTCCTCTTCTTGAAAATACCACTCTCCGCAAAGTTACTGATTCATGGTATGTGTTTTCCTTTCTTTAATTTCTATCATTTATTATCATTTAAATTTTCTATTTCTGTAAGATATCGAATGCGACGACATATAGATCATAATAATGCATGCGTTTGATGTTAGTCCCGTTAAATACAAACATGCAATAATAAACGTTTGGATTCGTCAAAGCCTTTGATGACGTCACAATAATTAGCTTTGACAAGTTACCGCTCCTACCGCACCATCGTGGAGTCAACCATCATCTTCTCATTGCAGACATGGACTGACTGGCTCGTTGTTGTAAGATGCAGTAATGAGATGGTAGACATCAGACATTCCTCCTTCATTGCTGACTCTGACTCCGTTTGCGGCGGCGTTACCTGTATTATTAAGCTATACATGCTGTTATCACTTTTGGATTTATTTCATTGCACTTTCGGATCAGCATACACGGGAAGCTGGATCTTTTCAACACGTCCATTACAGTTTACGTTTCTTCTCGTGTAAAGAAACCTCACTGACTGAATCTTATACCATCCTTTTTTAAATTACTAAACGGGGCTGAAATTAAAAGGTTTGGGTCGTCGTCGAGGTCCCAGAGATTGTTCACTACATGCTCACACGTTGATCTACTTCATGGACGGTGCTGTAGGCGTACATGTGCCAGTCCCGGTCCCAGTTGACCTCGCACAACGCAGTTATTGTTCCTTCAGCGCGTTGACTCGCTGATTGGATGATTGGCAGTAATGGCCGCCGATGTACTCTGTGGCGGGATTCCTCTACGGATTACTCGATGGATCATCATGATGGACAATAAAGTGTATTTTGGCGGGAACCAGACTGGAAAAAAGAGGGAAACACGTCCGAGCTGTTTGTTGATTGTGCAGAAAAACACCTTCAGCCAAATTAAGCACGTAGTCTGTAATGGTTTGTACGTTTTGTCTCTGGCGTGTCCGCGGTGTTCGTCTGATGTTTTCTTTGCAGACAACCACATAGACTTTCGTAACAAAAACTTGAGTTTACACTTAATTCAAAGTTTACTTACAAACAAATAATTAAGGAGATACATGTAATAAGTAGATTTGTATTTAATAATTTCAAAGTTTATGATACAAATAATAAAGGTGAGGATGGAAATGTGCATGCAAATTCATTTCTTGAAAGTTAAAATCGTCAGTCTTTTGAATTGTAAAATGAAAATTAGATTGCAATCTACCCAAGATTAATTTTGCTCTCGTGGTTATGTAGACACATATAATGCCTATTATTTATTCTGTGCCGGAGACCATTTATAAATGTTTATCACCTTCGAGCGAGTATGCATTGTAGTCAGTGGCGATGTGACGAATATTAGAACTATCATCAGTCCGTCACGTGATGATGATCGCGTGCCTCACTCACACACGCACACTCAGTCGATTCTTTCTTTTGCAGTTAACGACCAGACCAGGACTACAACAAGTGAATTCTCAGTTACTTAACGCCTTTTTTTGCTAGAGAGAGTATTTGGCAATCATAATCCATACGATTTTGATAACACTCCAAGAACTTGCTATAGAAAATATTACAATTAATATGATGGATTTGTCATTAGTGTATACGCCTGAGTGTTTCACCACAAAGACTCTGTCACAGCTGCCTGCTGTGTTATTTACTTAACGTAGGTAGTGGTGTATAGTCAATGGTTCTGGGCTCGCTAGCGTTAGTACTTCTTTATTATCTCAGTAATTACTCAAGTTCCTGGTAACTAGCCTTAACATTCCGTCATAACACGTCCTTGAGTTACACAATGGATTGCATAGTAGTTCAACACTCTAATGGTCCACGTTACATTACTGATAGTGATATCAAGCAGCGCCTACTGATGTAAACCATCATGCATATTGGTGTTAGGTATTGTAATTGTAAAGTATGATTAATGTAATAAAATAAAACGTATATGATGGTCATGGACCCGAGCTCTATGTGTAAGATGGCCTTAATAATAATTATTGTGGGTGTCATGGCGTCAACCACATGTAGTTTAATTACCAAAGGCGACATAATTTGACCATTACTTAAAATGTTAACAATGTTTAATTTGAACCTTTGAACGGCTGCCATTTTTTTACTTAGTTACAGTATCCGTTTAAGTTGGGTGTGTGTTATTCTATTCTACTAATAAAAACCTTTAATTCTATGTGCATATTATCAAACTATGATTTTCATTGGTCATTTTCTTCTAGCCCCTAGTCTCCCTGAGGAGGTAGCATATCACTAAATAATGTTTTAAAATAGTTTCTATGCCTAGTAGGTAACTTTGTTCCAAGTTTCGTAGCTCTATATTTATTGTTGTTTTTTTATACTTAACTGTCCTAGGTTGTACAGGGATTTGTTGCTGCCCTTGTATGATATGTGTTTAACATAATGCACTGTATTAATTACAATGTATGAATTACGTACAACTGTTCTGAATTGTATTACATTTGCATCTTGTTAGTTCCTTTAATTTGTATCTCAATCTAATCATCTATGTATTGGCGTCAGCCGTTGAAATTATAAATGAACTAGCTGTAACCCGCGGGCTTTGCCCCGTTTAACTTATTAATTTTCAAGATTATCTCGTTCGCATGGCTCAATCACGTCCTGGTTGAAGTTTGTTCGCTACGCTCACTCACCTTTAGGTTGGAGCTCGTTCGCTACGCTCACTCACCTTTAGGTTGGAGCTCGTTCGCTGCGCTCACTTGCCTTCAGGTTAGCTCGTTCGCTACGCTAACTCGCCTCCAGGTTGAAGTTCGTTCGCTACGCTCACTCACCTTTTTGTTGCAAATTAGCTGTTGTCATAAATGTAAAAGAAATAATAGTGCTGCACCCTGTTGGTAATCATTGTAAATTTAATGCTATTGAATATCATAGAACAGAACGAACTTGTTTAGTTGAAACAGCTGTTAAGATTCAATAATTCCATTTCTCATAAGGTTAACATGGGAATCTCCAGAGCCACTGGGGCGGAGCTCGAAAGGATTTTTGAAATAAGAATATGCCTATATGTTAATCGGGAATGTGAGCTATCATCATGCCAAATTTCAGCCCAATCCGACCAGTATTTTTCGCGTTCACTTGTCACAAACATACATCCATACATCCATACATCCAAACTTTCTCATTTATAATATTAGTAGGATGAACTGTATTGTTCCAGAGCTGCAGCACGCATCATGTCTGCGGCAGTGCCACGAGCTGGACTGGCCGATGATCTGCCGTGTCAAGCTGGTACTGGAGGTCTCGTCAGCTGTTACAAGGTACAACAGACACAGACACTACATCATTTAAGGCTCATAAATATTTAAAGGCGGCTTAAATTGTTATTTGTGTAACTAAAGTGTATTAGTGTATTGGGAAACGCTGCACCAACTGATCGTTGATCGAAGTCGTAATAGGCTATCTTTAAGTGTGCCAACTTATTTTTAAGGGTACGTACGGTACATGTATTACGTGCCTAATAAAAGCACACCGTTTTGTGTTGTTTGGTTGGGATACTGGTATGCAGCAATGCAGCAAAAAAAAGCATGAGCAAAAATAAGTAAATGTAGCAATTTAACAACTTTCTGTACTATAATCATAGTGCAAAAGAAGCGCACTTTGTCAGGCAACTGTAGGAAAAAAAGGTTTATTGTAAGAAAATTATTAATTTGGGAGTCTTTGTTATGCTTAAAATAATCACAGTTTATGGAATGCTCATTTTTTATCAATAAACCATCATACAATTCAAATAAAAGAAAAATAATTTAATGCCATTGGGAGCCACACATGCTAATAATTATTACTAGAAATCACAATAATTTTGCAATACCAGCTCATCATAACCTGGAATTATTATTTAAAAAGAAGTCCAATAATGCTGGCACAATATTTTTCCAAATTTAGTTAATGTTAAAGAATGTATTAAAGGAAACCCTGCAATAGAATAGACCACATGCATATCTGACGACACCATATCTGTTAGGCCTAAATTAACTTAGGTAGGCCTACTATGTTTTATCTGGTAGGCCTACAATTGTGTCTGTACCTAAGAAAGTATTAATTAGTGAAATTAATCTGTATGCGTTGTATATAGTGTGTTTGAAAAGTCCCGGAACAATGTAATATATTTTTTACCGTTTTAGATAAAGTAATAAAACTTGGTATATCAATAATAAACATGAATTGCTACTCTTTCAAGCTATTTATTACTTTTTTACCTTTTAAGGGGGATGGCCGGATGGCCCACGAGGAGTAAGACAAAATTCTATTATAGCAGCATAGGTCACGTTTGGTATCAAATTAAAGGTCTCATTTAGTACAACACATTGCCGCAAACCCAAACTCAAACGGACAACCGAGTCAAAAATGGCAGCCGTTCAAATATTTCTTGAATCTGTCATTTTGAATCTTTTGAACGGCTGCCATTTTTTACCCAGCTGTTATTTTGAGCTCAAATTTGCGGAATTGTATTCTACTAATAAAGACCTTTATTGTGATGTGCATATCCTATGCTTACGTTAATGATTTTCTTCCGACTTCTAGCGGGCGCCCCACAGCATTGCAAATTTAAGGAATCTTTGAACGGCTGTCATTTTTTAATCCATTGTCCGTTTGGGTTTGTGGCATTATGTTTTACTAACAGACACCTTGAATTTGATACCAAACTCGACCTATGCTGCTGTTTAAGAATTTCGCCTGACTCCTCCTTGGCGGCATCCCTTAATTGGTAAAAAAGTAATAATAGCTTAAAATAGTAGAATTTAAGGCTATAACTGATTTACCAAGTTCCATTTCTTTACTCATAAGAGTATAAAATAAATTAAACCGTTCCGGGACTTTTCAATCACACTGTATTGTGTATTTAGCTGATTAGGCGCAAAACCTTAAGGGTTACTCCAATTCTGATGGGTTTCCACAAATTATAAATTTAATAAAAATTAGAATGATGCCAGGGGTTTTTTACAACAGTGTCTTCTTTCCAGGTAACACTTTTTCTCATAGTCTGAGTGGGCTCCCGACCACTGAAACTAATTGTAAAAAAACTACACCAGGGATTGAACACCTGGGATAGACTGATGCTCATCAATGACTTTGTTTATTTCCATTCATTTAATTTTTATATTGTCTTTGACTTTTGCTCGGAAAAATTCACCATCTCAACAGTGGTGGCGATATTGGGCCCCTAGGGGGGGGGGCTGCAAGCCTTGACCTGGATTTCCGGGAAATTTTAACAGGCCCGTTACAGTTTGACGGGCTTCGCCCGAATGATAATTTTGACACTCATAACAATATTTATTTGAGAATTACCTTAAGTTTTTTTTACAAAAATTTGTTAAAACCGCAGTAAGCGCTAGGACAAGTAGTTTACAACATAAACTGGCACCACACTTGACCCCTTGAACGATCGATAGAAATTGCATACAGTACTAACCTAAGTAAATGAATTGTCATACTGTATCAGTCATGTGGGTTGTATCAACTGACCTCGTGGACTGCGTGAAGGCGCTATAATAGGGCCGTATTTAGATCCGATGTGGCCTCTGGCGGATCACACCAGAGATCCTTCTATGCTGATTCAAATAAATGAACTTGACTATTTTTTACGATCAAATCGGCTAATAATCCTAGGAGATTAGGACACTAGCTAATAAATAATTCCATTCTTTCATTGATACTATTAATTAGGAGGCTACACTTAAGATTTGTTTACTTCGAGTCATGTAAAAAATGTTACTTACCTACTTTTGAGCCAAGCAAGAGTGCAGGTTTATGCGGAAATACCTGTGAAAATGTTTTTAAAGATTATTGGGATAGGGGGGCCCGCGACCTCTTATCACGGCCACTGAATCTCAAGAAACTTCTCAATAATTTAGTGATAGCTGTGTAGACAACTGAACTGTACACAACAGCTAATGGCCTTTATCTAGACCTACACCAAGGAGAAGTGTTCCATGACTGTAGATTATGTACCTATATGTTCCAGGAGCAGCAGTTCCTGTGGCCACAACAGTACAGAGTGTGTGGAGGGATGTGGCAGAAGAGTAGGACCAATCAAAGCCAAGCTGCTCACAGCTAACGGCCTCGCACCTGGACCAACTATTGAGGTGATGGAATCATGGATAATAATTTAGGATTGATATTAGTCATGCTATGTATAATGTCACCTAAAAAAATAACACTATCCCAGCCCACATTGCTTCTTTTTATTTATTTATTTCATACGGAAACACCATCATACAATAAGTGAATCTTATATGAATTAGTCCAAAAGAGTCTTTAAGTAATTATTTAGGAAATTGTTTCAACAAACAGGCAATGTAGTTTATAATATCATGTTAAGTGTTATCATCACTTACATGTATTCATTTTTTTTTATTTTTTTTTTTTTTTAGAAAACAAAACTTTATTTATACATTTCAAACAATTCAACATATGACTATGATTTTCAATCAAATATAAATGTTTAAAAAATAAAATGAAAGCTCAATAGAGCAATGGGGGAATTGCGGCACCATCTTCAAATTGAATACTACGAATTTTTCGTCTAGTTCCCCGTAGCCTAAGCGAAACCGCTCGAATGATGGAAAGCTGGCTTTGGATCCTCAACCATCCGATAATTTGGGAGTATGGTTTTCTCCATTTTAAAGCCAGGGCTTCGCTTGTTCTCCTCTGAAACGCTTCATATTCTTTGTGGGGGACTCCTTCCGTGGAACATATTAATGGTGTGAAGCTTCCTCTGATGTCTTCGGCTGCTTTGTCATATTTATTGTGTTTCTGAACAGCATGGTTTCGAGATATTGTTCCCCATTCTTGGTTGGCGTAAGAGGGAGCGTCAGCATTAACAATGCGATTATCAAAAAACGCTACTCTCTCAGCCTCCCAAATACCATTAACTTTAAAATCAGCTTTTAAAGCAGGCACATTGTTTGCAGGGTCAGCTTCTCTCATAATAGGCTCGACTTCAACCCCTTTCCAGGCCATATTTGCTATCGCAGCACAGTGGTCTCGATGTTGATCATGCCCATGTTTGATCAATCCTCCTTTTTTACAATTTAAAGCATGGGTAAGATTCATAGGTTGATCACAACCATCACATCGTACTGGTAAATTTCTTAGTGTGCGGCCATAGCGAATTGACAAAGCATCTCTGAATTGATCCGGGGACAAATCCGTATGATCAGATGCACATGGTGTCACAGTTAACCATTGGCTAGTATTCCCTGCTACAATTCTAATTATTGGCTTCTTTTGAGTTTCAGGAAGTAATTCCATAATTCGTTCATTATTTGCTTTAGCCAACGTGTCTTTTTCTAGTTTTCTCTTCTTTTTTACATCTTGTAGTGTTGATACATGATCATTAATCTTTAATGGTTGTCCATTTTTAATGGCTAATATTAATTTTTCTGTGCATTGTTTTGATGTTTTAAATGAAATACCATCGTTCTTTGTCGGGTCCTGAATATTTAAGCCTCCAAAACGAGTAGGGAGAGAGAACAAGTCATGTTCAAGTTCAGAAATCTCTTGTTCGAAAAGGTTGGGAGTGAAATGGCGATGTATGGCAGTTTTTAAGTCTTCGTATTCTTCACTAAATCCCTCTGTTACTCTTTGGAGAAATGCCCATTCATTTTGTAATGACTTAGTAAAGGCAGTATACGCTGCTTGAGGACTTTTATGTGCAGCTATGCCAAATTTCTTTATACAATCAACCCATTTTTTTACCTTTTCTTTCACGAATTCCTTCTTTTCTTCTGAGCTACCAATAATACCCCCTAAAAACCTGTACGATGTTACAATTTTCACTTGTAGGTCTCTGAAAATTTCTTCTGCTTTTTCTTTATATTCAGGTTTTACTATCAATACACTTTTCTTGGGTTCTGGGTAATACCCCCATTTTGGCCCTTCAACACGTAAAGCATTAAACCATTCTCTAACTTTAAGTATTTCACCGAAACATGCAGAATCATCAGCGTACCAGTTTTGCTTCCAATTTAGGCTTTTTAGTTTTTTTACCAAAGGTAATATGCCAATTGCATACATTAGCATGCCTAAAGGGTCTCCCTGAGTGGTTCCTTCTTGACTAAGGATGATTTTATTGCTTCCTCTAAACATAATGGTTGCATAGCCTTGGTATGTATTGAATAGGAAACGAGCGCAACGAGGCCAAAGCACCCTAGCATTCCACAGAGTTAAAGGCCTGCTCAAGGCGTTGAACGCATTTGAAGCATCTACAAGTAAAATACAATTTTGGTTATTTTCATTGAATAGGTCCGTCATAGCATGTATAGCACCTTCTATTCCAGCTTTCGTTCCGGCGCAGAGTTGGTCAGATCCACATATTTCTTGAACATCGTCACCTGTTACAAAAGCCATGGTTTTTGCACATAGTCTCTGCAAAACTTATCATTGAATTACATTACTGTAATTACAAATTCCTAACGCTGAACTCAGATAAATTAATATTCAACTACCTTTCAAACTTTTACTATTGATAAAACTTCTTTTCTTTATCCAATACCCAATTCAAGTTTTCATTCATCTGGGTTAAAATGAATTATAACATTAAATGTCGAAAAATTAAATAAGAAGAAGAATGCAGCCGAACGTTGAACGTCAGCATCGGACACTGTCGTTGCCATAATGGCTGAAAGCGTCCGTTGTCTGCCGATCTTCCCTACTTTTCATAACGTACAAAAGCATAGTCAGACTTGAACGATCCCAACCCAAGTTTTAGGTTAGACTTTGTAATTAGTCCTCTCGTTCGCTACAAGTGTAAAGACTACAACGTATTTCAATTTGGTAAAACGATCTGCAATAAAAATTATTTATGTTTCCCTGGTATAATAGTTTATGTATATAAAAAAATATTTTGGGGTGGGTCATGACCCCCCTGACCCCCCCCCCTGGGACCGCCCTTGCCTGGTTTAAGACACATCTGATGTTGCTAAAGCAATATCTTTAAGACAGCTGAGTTTTATTTTCTTTACCAAGGAAATCATTTTGATTGTAAACTTATACTGAATGAAAGAAAGTTGATACCAAACACAAAACTCTTAAACAATAACTTAAACTTAGATTAAATCAGTTAATAAAATAACTTCAACTAATCCACAGATTTCACGACATCTGCTCTTAGTAAAAAAGCCACACAAGTTAATATCACTCAATTCTACACACATTGTTAAGAGACACAAATTTCCTTCAGGTAAAAAAATTTTGCATTTTGTTTCATTTCAATGTTATAATAACATTAATACATAGTAAAATACCTAATTCAAGCAAACCCCCTAATTGCAGGGCTGCTGAAACAATCAGAGAGTAATATCTTCCGAATACAGATTGGAGACGCATAAGGGTGGTTTTAACGTATTGTGTCTGCTTTTAATGTAAAAATATTTGGCTATGCTTTTTAGAGGTCCTTTACTTATGGGAAACAATGTAATACAGCTGTAGTCCACTTATTTGCAGGTTTAATTTTTTTCTTTGAAGAGTCTTCTTTACATGTCGATGTCCAAGGAGCTTATGGCATCATTTGTTGTTGCCACTTCCCGTAAAATTACGTCCTTAGGATGCATCACATTTTGGAGATTGAACCTACATGAGAATTCTTTTGTATTTGTATTTAAGATGGGAATGATATCATGGGGTCCAAATTCAAAGTAAACTCGAAAAAGTTCTTCGCTTTTGATATAGACTTGCCATTTTGCACATACGCATCAAAGGCACATACATTGTTGTACCGTCTTTTACTCTATGGTTTCTAAAATGGCATCATATACAAAGATAAGTGACCCCATCACATTTATACTAGCCATTAAAATATATCTGGTTCCTGTCGGTCATCCTGTACAGTACTTGATTGTCTGCAAGGTCAAAAAACTCGTGAAGTTGGATAGTTGTAGCATGAATACATGTTTTGCAAACACATCCTTAACATTATTATTACAGCTACAATTAATCGTAATGGTGATTTGAAGCATCGTACCATGATAAGACTGACTATGTTCAGGTATGTGAGAAGGACATCCTGGTAGTGGACGTGGTGAACCGTGCACCAGGGGCAGCAGTGTCAGTCCACTGGCGCGGCCAGGCCCAGCGAGAGACCCCGTACATGGACGGAGCCCCCATGGTGACCCAGTGTCCCGTCAACACATTCACGACCTTCCAGTACAAGTTCAGGGCTACCAACCCTGGCACACATGTCTGGCAAGTACATACAGGTTGGTATCTATCTTTGAGGGTTTGTTCAGCATTGTCTATAGAGAGTTGCAGCAAATAAACACATTATAAATTGTAAATAACTGAACAGTGACAATTGGTGGTGTAATTTTGTTAGGTAATCATATTGGGTAAACACATTTAGCGACACCTCAAAAATTTATTTTGTGACATCAAATAAGGATTTTATTTTTGTATACATTAAAATTCAAGAATATATAGGATCCTTTTTTTTTAATTGTATGGAAGGTTTCATTTTTAGTACCGTAAAAAAAAAAACAAAAAAAAACTAAGCAACAGTAAAATTTATTTTTAGAGTCATACAGGGTAAATTAAACTTTCTAAATCAGATCACTTAGTGTACATTCATGTCTTTAGACTATTAAAGTTAAATAAACAAATATTCCAAATTGAATTAATTTCGATGCATTGGGTTTTCTTTCCTTACAGGTAACCCAGAGCTGGACAGCTTATTTGGAGCCCTGATAGTCCGTCAATCACCTAAGAAAGAACCTCATCATGACCTTTATGATGAAGATGATCATTTTGTTCTTATTAGCACTTCTCCTTCTATTGATAACTTGGGCTCTGGAGCCCTTCTTATCAACGGGAAACCATTTGGCCAGGTTAGTGACTTAATTTGTTGTCCAATTTACCAATCAATAATTTTAATGATTGGTCTTATATACCTAATCAAATTGTGCATATTTAAGAATTTAAGATGAGTGTAGGGAGTGAGATGCCTTTGGCCCCTCTGTTACTGACAAACTGGTTGATATTATTTCCAGATTCATTTATTAATTAATAGCAAAGTTTTCAGGTGGTTAAAGAACCTTCCTTGCAATCCAAAAGTTGTTAGTTTAAACCTGAGAAAAGCATACAGTATTTTGATGGTTCCAAATTGTACCCAGATAAGCCCACTTAAGTAATAAAGCAGATAATATTGGTCCTTTTCTGTTTCTCAGACATCCAATGCTTCCCACGTATTGAATAGGAAAACCTAATCTATGACTTGGAGGTATCTTCTCAGGTGTCTTTGCAGTATACACTCAATTTGTTTAGATTTTAAATCAATCTGGACCATTTAGAAAGGTTGTACATTTAGACTTAATTATCTACAAATTCTGCATGGCAATTCCATCTATTTATGAGTCATACACAATTTATCTCACATGAAAATTTGTACTTGATATAAATGCACATTTCAACCAGAAAACGTTCTCAAAAGATAAGACAACGGTGTGTTTTCTGTATCACCAGGAGGGCGAGGCTCAGTTGAATGTGACGTCATACAAGAGACACAGACTACGGCTGATGTATGCTGTAGCATCTATTAGTTGTCCTGTAACTGTGGCAATAGACAGACACTCACTGTTGGTCATAGCACTGGACGGTCACCCCATCAGACCTGTGGAGGCTCTCAGTGTAGTCATGGCTCCTGGTGAGTGTGAGGCAAACTAACAATCAATTGCAAGTGGTTTTTTATGAAATTTACTCCATTGGTTAATCCAAGGCACCACTAAAAACAAGGCCGTAATGCTCGTCCAGCATGACGTCATGATAGAAGACGGCAATGACGTAATTTTGCCGTTTGTGATCAGCTGCTTGTTTTAATCTTTCATTGGAAAATAAATAAATAAGTACTTATACATCATATAGCCGTCTTCTATTGAGACGTCATGCTTGGCGAGCATTACGGCCTGTTTTTTTAGTGTGGCCTTGGTTAATCTGTCTTTTAGCGAACTTCCCTATTTGACACTAGAATAGATACGGTAGTTTTTATATTTCCTCAACTCTAAAAAATCTATTGCGAGTTGCGACTGTTATTACCAAAGTTTACAGGAGCAAGCGGCTATATAATTTCTTCAATTTTTGATTGCAAGCCTGAAACCTCTCTATGAATTTAAGTTTCCAAGTAAAACTCAATATTCCTTTGTTCTGATATTTTATTTATCCAATTTCTAATTTAATTGTTTTTATGGACTCACCAGGAGAGAGAGTAGATGCTGTACTAACAGCTGATCAAGACCTTGGTGACTATCAGCTGAAGGTGACCACAACAGCTGAATGTACCACCAAGCTGCAAGGATTAGCCCTAGTCAGCTACCAAACTCACCAGAGCGCTCAGTCACCTCTCACGAGGCTCCCCCAACACCAACCTAACCTGGTCAAGGTAGGTCCCAAATACCACCAGTGTTTACTATTATAACTAACTAATAGACATGCGACATAAACAATGTCATTAATTTCAGTATTATTTGCATGAATCAACAAAACACATAAGAATAAAGTGAATGAAATTTGTGATTTTCAACTAAATTTGTATCAGCATAAGTTCTAAATTAATATTTTAAATTGAAAAAACCCGGCCTGACTAAAATAAGTTTTCATTTTAAGTTTATACAGGGTGGGACAGGGAAATATCCCTACTTTTAAGATGGCACTGTGAGTAATGGGGGTGTGCTGGAGGAATGGGGTTAGGCTCAAATGAAGCTTTTGTTTTGGGAATTTCTAAGAATATCACTAGTAGTAGACATGGCTTGTTCAAGTGAGCAATGTGCTTTTGCACTCGAGATGTTTTTTTTTTCAAAAATCAGTCTATTGTTGCTGTGCAGCTAGCGTTGGCTGCGAACTTGTTATCGGGTGGCCAGCCGCAAAGCTGTTACAATTTGGCGTGGGTGAAGTACTTCCGTGTATGTGGTGGTGTGTTGCAAAGGATATTTGGAGCTCAAAGAACCGTCCGGACTCCTGAAAACATTGACCTTGTCAGAAGATCGATTTTGCAGTCTCCTCAAAGTTCTGCTTGTAACCATGCATCTGCGCTGGCGTTGTCTAATAGTACTGTGCCTCGTATTGAGGACCTACACCTCCATCTATACAAGAGGGTAGTTGCTCAAGAACTCACACAACGGGACTGGCAACAACGAATGCAGGCATGTGAAATCTTAATTGCGGGACTGCCTCATGCTGCTCGGGTTTTGTTTAGTGACAAGGCACACTTCCATATTTCTGAGCGGTAAATAAGCAGAATGTGCTCTATTTGAGTGATGCTAAGCCTAGGATAGTTCAAGGGAAGACCCTAAATGCCTTGAAGGATGCAATTCACCTTGAGTTTTGCCACATTACACAACCAATGCTTCACAGAGTTATGATAAACTTCAGAACCAAAATACAGCAGTGCATTTACGATTAGGGACACCACTTGCAGGATATGCTGTTTAAAACCAATTAAAGTTATATTAAAATAAACTCCAAGATGTAACCTTTTAATCTCAATATAAAGTTTGGTTCTAAAATTTTTGGTTGTCTTTTAATGTACCTTCAAAATTAGGGATACTTTCCTGCCCCACCCTGTACACTATTGCAACAAATAGTAAATGCCTAATATCTTATTCAACGTAAGAAAATTATTTCTTCATTTAGAGGGTACAATCTTCATGACTGAGCTACTTATTGTTATACATTAATTATCATTGTTAGAACCATGTTAAAACTGCAACTAGTCCAGGCTTCAGCTTCATTATGAACACAGGCTGGATGCTGTATTTCAAGGAATTAATAACTCATATTGATTCTACTAGCATATATATTGTTTATTCACAATGTTTTACAAATATTTATAAAGTAGTGCAATATGGAGGCTGGTACACGAGGCGAAGAATTAACTGAGATTTGTGGAGCCACGACAGTAAGTAAGTAAGTACAATATGGAAGTACATAGTTATGGATAAAGTTCAAGAACAATAATACTATTTTATACCTGTAAATATGTAAAGTACCTACAATAACAGTCTTTGTTAAGTTGATAACTTGTATCTTCTCTTTCTACAGGGTCTGAGCACAGTAGGGAATGGAGACTGCAGCACAAGTGATTCTCAGTTCTTGTGTCTCTCCAAGATACAATCCCTGACTAAACTCCCCCCAGAACTCACCCCCGAGAGATTACCCTTCACGCTCTTCTTGCCCTTCGACTTTGTCAAGCCTCCTCCTCAGTACAGTGTCTTTGATGGTATGTTTAGTGAAAAAAGCATTAACCCAGTCAGCATAAAAATTGTTGGAAAAGAAAATAAATTGTTTCAAAATTGTTTCAAAATTGTTTCGAAATTGTTTTAAAATTGTTTTAAAATTGACAAATTTGGAATTTTGTCTATATTAAAATGAGTTTAAAATTGTTATAAAATATTTTTGAAGTTGTTTTAAAACAATTTTGAAATTGTTTTAAAATTGTTGTATAACAATTTTAAAGTTGTTGTATAACAATTTTGAAGTTGTTTGGAAATTGTTTTAAAATAGACAAATTTGAAACTTTGTTAGGGTTAATTTCTATTTGAGTTCATAAATAGCAACTGATTAAATATAACATTAATTGATTAGTTTACTATCAAAAACAATGGTGAATAAATAAAAACAAATAAGTATACTGAAATTCTTCTATTTGAAGTAAACAAATTAAAAAAAGTAGAGAAATAATAAAAACAAAGTCTACTACATTCTGGATTAAAAAAGTAGAAATGGATGCATGGATATAAAAATAAAATATTCATGGACAAACTTTAAGTTCTCTACCAGTCAGCACAGAATAAATTATTATCTTTTCAATTGCAAAGTTAACATTCATATATAGCAATCATTAGTTTGCCTAGGCCTAGACCTAATTATTTAGGAGGGCTTGTATACACTAAGTAACAAACAATGAGGTTATAATAGCAGCAAATTATCATCATTCTAGTTTATAAGATTTAGATTGCTTAAAGCATACAACACAATAAATAAATATGGGGAACAAAAAATATTGAAACCCAAACAGCCAACAATAAAAGACAAAGATACATGAAATGCAAGGACATGATTTTTTGAGACCAAGTAGGCCTGAGTTATGATAAAAAATTAATGCAAACAACAATGCTCGTGGTTTTGTCAATTGAAAGATAAAATGTCCATAAAAAAGGATTTAACTTATAAAATAACACTGTATATTAATTCGAAGTTTAATATGAAACCGTAAACAGTTTTGAAGGGAGTAGGCAACGGCCAGCGGCAAATTGAATCTTAAAGATGAAAGTACAAGTAAGAAATTAAATTTAACAGCTAATATAAAACTATTATTCCCATGATCAAAAAGGTTTGGGATCTAATGATAATTACCCTAGTAATAAATAAATAAGTTGTCAAGGAATGACAGTGATACAACTTTGATGAGCTTTGCTACTGAGTCATAAGTTTTTTGAAGTACTTGACTTGATGTGATTGTCGAGATAAAATATTTATGGCTTTGAGACTGCTAATGTGGTTCCTATTTCATAATTACTCTATAGTAATAAATGATGAAAATGTAAGCAAACATTTGATCAAAAACCTTTTATGTTCTTCTAACAAATTTTTATGTCATACTTAAAATGGCCCACACAATTATTTAAGGACAATTACCACTAAAAACTACCCATATTTACTAAAAACAGTACATTTCAGAAAAAAAATAAGTTCATTCCCAGATTTCCCAGTTCGTAGACACTCTGACAATACATTATTTACACATCATTTAAGCGTCGGCGGCTTCATGATCATCATCTTCCTGTTCTTCAGGTGCTCTTTGACACCCTGCCCTAAAATTATAACACACAGATTAATATTATATTTCGTTACTAGGGACCCCTGAATGTTTACAGCTGTTACATTAAGCAAATGGCATTATAGCAAAAGCTAGTCTAGAATGTTGACGTCGGCTGCTTGACTTAAAAAAATGAAAACTTAATTTCTAAAAAACTGAAACCCTAACCTGAAATTGTGCCTTTCACATTCCCTAGTTCTCAGAATTATCTTTCTTTCGACACCAAAATAGTGATAATCCATCAAGTGGTAGATTCAGAATCGTGAAATAAAAAAACCCTGTCAAGTATTAATGATTGTTGCAGTATTTGTCTGAGATAAAGAAAATCACCTGAGCTTTAGTATAACAATATACTATCAAAACTGAAGCATCCGGAATGAAGAGAGAAAGCTAGTAGCATATTGTTTTGTTAGCCTATGTTTTTATTAACCTCACTAAGTGAATTTTGTAATACAAATTATCACACTATACATACCCTTTCTAAGTCTTTGATTTTAATTGTGTCTGTGGCAGCCATGAAGCAACTGATTTCTCTATCTTGCTTTGTTCAATGTTGGCCCATCTCTTCTTCGTCATTTCTTCAAAAAACAAAATGCATTTAATAGAACATTGCAAAAAAAGATTTCTGCAATTTTTGTTGGGTTAACATTTATCAATAATTATATAATAAATGAATAGCCTAACATGTATGTTTGCGCTTAATATTTTGTTATAATTTATAAGTCTACAAATATTTTAAAATAGCCACTTTGTTCTAAATTTTATAAGGATTAGGCCTACAAAAATATAATAATATAAGGAAGTAAATTTGAAAATAAATAAGTTATGGGTGAAAAACAGATTTCGTTCATTAAGCGTTAGCTAAGAATGCATAGCCTAACCATAGCTAGGAATCTGGCCGATAATTTACATCAATATCCACTACCTACTTCTTCAGGATCATCAACCAGCCCTTCAAAATCACTTAAATCTTCTTATAATCGACCACGTATTTTTTATTTTTAACACTAAAACAATGGAAACGTTTAATAAAACACATCAGTCAGCGGTGGTTAACCAAGTTGTTTACAAATACGCACGTCAGCTGTCTGCTAAAATATTTTTGGAACTAAAATGAAAAGCGTCTAGAAACATACATCAGGAGAAAGCTTAGAATCTCCCGAAAACGATACCAATCTTGATCCAGTTAAATCTGATTAAGTCAGTCCCAGAGCCTTCGCCATAAACGATGTTTGTGTGTCGCAAAAGCGACGCTTAACACCACGGCGGATGTGTTGTGCATCGATTACGCGATGCTTAACACTCGGAGGGCTAAATTATGAGTTAACCAAGTTTCAAGATCTAGTAAGTTAACCCTCCGAGTGTCACGCGTCATAAAAACGACGCACAACACACTTTGTGTAGGGTCACGCGTCGCTTTTAAGACGCACAAACATCGTTTACGGCGAAGGCTCTATGACTGACTGAATCGGATTGAACTGGATCGAGTTAGGTATCGTTCTTTCCGTAATATTCTAAGCTTTCTGCAGAGGTCTGTCTCTAAGCGCTATTCATTTTAGTTCCGAAAATATTGTAGCAGACAGCTGACGTGCGTGTATTTGTAAACAGCTAGGTTCCCCCGGACCGATGACTGATGTGTTTTATTACGTTTATCATTGTTTTAGTGTTAAAAATCAAAAGTAGTGATATACGTGGTGCATTATAAGAAGATTTAAGTGGTTTTGAAGTGCTGGTTGATGATCCTGAAGAAGTAGGTAGTGATATTGATGTAAATTATCAGCCAGATTCCTAGCTATGGTTAGGCTATGCATTCTTAGCTAAACGCTATGTACTGAAATCTGTTTTTCGCTCATAACTTATTTATTTGATAACTTACCTCGCTATATGATTATATATTTGTAATCCTCATTAAATTTAGAACAAAGTGGCTATTTTCAAATATTTATAGGCCTATAATTTATACAATTTCATTGAGCGCGAACTTATTTTTTTTTTGAAAATTTTCGAAATTATTTTTTTTTTTACCTAAAAATTTTTTTTTTGAAAAAATGTTCCTTATGTTTTATATATAATATTGAAGCCCATGATTTTCCAAACAAAATGGTATATAGAACATTAGAATTAACATTGTTTTAAGCTTCTCAGATCCGTTTTAATAAAACCTTGCAAAGGGGCCAAAAATAGGTGGACATTAAGGCCTAAACTATGGACACTCGGAGGGTTAACATATTTGTAAACTTAACCCTCTAATTGTCCATTAGAAAACCCTGAAATGTCACGCGATTTTTTGCAATTTGGCAGTGTTTTATATAAAATGCTATGAAAAATTACAACGATGACTTGGTGGTATAAAAGTATAGCCTATATTTTCTTAAAGTAGATAAAATAAGCTTACTTTTGATATAAAATTTGTTGGCCTAAATGTCTGGTATAAATAGTTTGGTTTGGGTTGAAATCCAGAAAATATATATAGGCTACAAAAAAAATTTTAGGTAACGAGATTCGTACAATACATTTAGTCATCAGTAATCAAACATCTAAAATATACATTTTGTTCAAAATTTAATTAGGAAAAATAAAATATATACTTTTATGGGGTTTGTATTGAAAATTGTAAGGATATGTGGAAAAAACTAAAAGAATGTACCCGTGAATGTTTATGTGTTGCAAAAGCGACGCTTAACACCACGGCGGATGTGTTGTGCATCGATTACGCGATGCTTAACACTCGGAGGGCTAAATTATGAGTTAACCAAGTTTCAAGATCTAGTAAGTTAACATATTTGTAAACTTAACTTAGAGTTGAAAAACCCCTGCAGCCCTTAACACAACAAGTTTAAAAATAGGCTAACTTAACTTAAATCAATCCCTAGCTGATGTAACTTAGCTAGGCCTAAGCCTAAATACCTAGTCATATTACTTTTAAGCAGTTACCGCATCAGGCGACAGGCCCTACAATGTCATTTTCTATTTGAGTTGGGGACGCTAAGTGAGTAATTCAATTCAATTATGAGTTTATAAACTTAATGTTAGATGCCTTGTGTAAGTTAGGTCTAAGTTATTTTAGTTTTGGTTACTATAAATCCAACTGTATCATTGAGCAACGACCATTTACTAAAAACCCAACGGTAACTTAAGTTACAGTTTCAGTAACATAGCCTGTTATATTTATGAGAAACAAAAGGAAATTCATTAGAGTTTGCTCACATAGGCTAGGCCAATTAATTCTAGAGATGGGCCATAATCATGTTACCTACCAAATACCTATCAAAGTTATTGGTTAACTTAGACCAGGAACTATTGGAGTACCTCTATTTCATTTTAGGTTAGGCCTATAAGTTATGTTAGTTTAGAATAACTGAATCACCACTGACTGAAAAGGTCTAAGTAAGTTATAACTCACCTTTGTTTGCTGCTTAAGAAGCTATGTAGGATAAAAACAGTAAACTTAATGCACCTAGTAACTTTTCTAACATAAACAAAATGCCGTGATGCCCGTCTGCCCGTGATCATGACAAAATCAAATCAACAGACTGGAGACTGCTGTAGTCAGTGAACTGCGAAACTCTGATAGAGTCTATAAGTAGATGATACTTGTAAGAATGTTAAACCTCATCCAGTATACTTATACAATTACAAATAATAAATAATTTCTTTTCACGACTGTTAACCTGTTGTTATTAACCATTAAACCTATACAGGTCCCGCAATTGATGGTCTAGGTCTAACTTGAGTTTGGCAGTCTGCCCCTCCTCCATGACTCTTTCACTTGATTTTACCACTATCGTACTGTACTTTAATCAAAATCGCGGGGAACTGTAGTTGCTGACGCATTGGCCACATACAATGAATACACAAACTAGTTTGTGTATTCATTGCCACATACACACAGCACAACACACTGACTATTATCCTACAAGTATAAGTGTCCCATAAGGAAAAATAGAAAAAATGCGCGAAAGATTTAAAATTTGGGCGAAAAAAGACAAAAATCATTATAGGCTAAATCTTTTTACAAAACAGACATTTCAAGATTATGGATGGCCATTGTAATTTTTGTAACTTATATTACTGAAAGGAAAGCCGCTTTCATAAATATAATATCCAGAACAATTTTAAGATTGTTGTAAACTTATATCAATACAATTGTGATACGTGTTTTCGAAACATTATTAAAATTGTTTCAAAACCATTTTAAAACTGTTGCAAACTTATATCAAAACAATTTTGATATGTGTTTTCGAAATAGTATTAAAATTGTTTCCAAACAATTTTAAAACTGTTGCAAACTTATATCAAAACAATTTTGATATGTGTTTTCGAAATAGTATTAAAATTGTTTCCAAACAATTTTAAAACTGTTGCAAACTTATATCAAAACAATTTTGATATGTGTTTTCGAAATAGTATTAAAATTGTTTTAAAACAATTTTAAAATTGTTGCACACTCATATCAAAACAATTTTAATATAGTTACTAACCATCTATATTAAAACAATCTTGAAATTGTTTAAAACTTATATTAAAATTGTTTTATATCAAAACTTATTTTGAAATTGTTGCAAACTCTTTTAAAATTGTTGTACAACAATTTTTTTGGCTTTTCAACAATTTTTATGCTGACTGGGAAGCTATGGAAATAAGTTCTTTAATACCTCTGAAATTTCTACTTTTAATAAATGAACATTTTCCAAATTTACTTTACGAGACAACTTGGCATTAAATTTAACTCTGATCTAAAAGAGTGAATAATGGATAATTCTCTCTGTTGTTCTAACGTTCTGTTTTCAAAGTGTGTTCATAACAGAGTGTCCATTTGCAAAACAGCATACTTGGGAATAACGAATAGAAATTCTATCGAATAGCACTATTCATTAGTTTTTTTTGGCTAACTTCTATTTTATTAGTTTGTTTTTAAATTAACTAACTAATAACTTCTATCAGTTACTTTTTACGGGACTAACTAATAACTTCTAACTAGTTAGAATTTTCAACTAACTTTCCCAATTATGCGGAAGCATCTCAAATACTGGTTATTTACATCGATGTATATAACTCTACTTATTATTATTATCGTTATTGTTATTATTATTATCGATTTATTATACATCGATGGTTATTTATTTCACGTGATCAGTGAGGGTTGCGTGCGGCCGTGAGAGGTCAGTGCCCTTGTAGACAAACATCGCGGGGGGTGGGGAAAGAGAAAGTCAAAGTCCAGTTGCTTTGGAATGCAGTGGGCCTGTGGAAGGGTAGTGACGGCCATTATCAACACCCCAAGCACTGATGGGTGGGAAGGGGAAATGTTTGTTTGGTGATTGATATATCATCTCAAGTGTCAAAACATTGTCTTTAGTTGATGTTAATTATCTGACAAGTTTTATGTCATTTGTTTATGTTGTAGTAATGTAAAATGTGACAATGTTTGATTAAAACACAAGTACCAGGGGACCGATCTTGCTCGAGGTGTTTGATTTGTTCAAGAGGTAAAAAATAGAGCTTATAAGCCTACAAATATTTTCAGTCTTACTACGATTAATAAGGTAGTAAAGTCAATTCGTTTTTGTTAGACATCCACTTATCCTCAATTTAGTCTACAAAACTTTTTAATTTGGACGATCAATCTATAAAATGTCCACAATAAGCTTCAATCAATATAAAACTCATGATACATAACATCTGTTATCTGACGACCGTTATTGCATTAAGTCACTGGGATCGTGGAACGTTGCAACTATAATTACGGTATGGTGTAATAACGCATCAATTCGTGCGGTGCATCGTCGAAAAATACAAATCTCCTTGGCCTTTCCTTTAGATTTTTAGTTCAATGTCAGTGTATGAGTGAAAATTTAAAAACGTACGTTTTCATGTCCCTGGCCTTTTACTTCGTAGATACTGGATTTGTAGTTTATTATTATGTGTTTTAATATTTTTTGGGACGGGGGCAACATGTTACACACATTTATTTGGTTTTAAATAGGTTTTAAGTATTTTTTTCGTATTTTTAAAGTCTCGAAATTCACGACCATGACGTGTCCCTAGGGTACATTTTCCAACTTTCACGCTGTTTTTAGACTAATTATTCATGCCAAAATATGTAAAGCCATATTTTTATGTCATCAATGGTTATTAAACTTACAAAAAAGGAGCATATTATAATTTTATTGTCATTAAAAACTGACTACCATGACAAAATAAGTCTGTCCCTCGATTTGGCGTCACGACCATTTGGGAAAAATTTTCAACTTTGGAGCACGACAGTGGCAAGCCTGGCGTCGATGGAGTCAGTTGGTTTTAGAGACTAGTTCGGGGTGTACGTCAGGATTGTAGTGCCGGTCGTTTCGAGTTGAAAGGAGGAATTACAAGATTAATAAAGGAAAGATTGTGTTTTTTGTAATTTTGGTGTGTCCATGACCGTACGTAGTCATTCGATCAAGTAGACATGGTGTTAATTTTTGTTTATAAGATATTTCAATTGCTAGATTAACCTAGAAGTCCACTTTGTATCCTCGAACATGAGGTGCAGGGCTACCGCCAGAACAGAGCCAAATAACTCGTAATTTCACGACCAAAGTTTCACGACCATCGTGGGTTTTTTCACGACCAATCCAGCCTTATGGATTATAGTGTGTTTGGTCGTGACAATAACTTTAATATAATTGTAAATTGAACAGTTTAGTGCAATTGAAACACATATTTTTATTATAACTAACAGGATAATTGAAGGATTGTTTGGAAAGATTTAGATTATTCCAGACAATTCACGACCGTACCGCTTGTCCCTGACCATCACGTTTATGATTTCTATCATAAAAATTTCAAAAATTAAAATATCGTAATATTTCTATGTTTTATACACAAAAGAATCACACCTCTATACAAACATAACGATTTTTCGGGTCTCAGGTAAGTTTTTTCGAAGTTATACAAACTTAAAAAGATTTTATTGGTTTTTTTCAATTTTTTGAGCTTTTTATTTTTTTCTAGAAAGACCATATATACCAAAAGCTCAGTGACCTTTTTATAGTATAATGGTCATAAAAGTAAATTAGATTATAGCAAAACATAGTAATAAAAATAATATTAACTATTTTTAATATTCATTTAAACGTCTGTTATGGTCGTGACAGGATTTTGTGTTTTTCCACTAAAGATGCTCTTTTAAAAAGAAACTACCAAAGATATTCTGTTACCATGGACATTTTATGAAACTTCAAATGTTAATGAAATACAAAAAAAAATATAAAAGTTTTGAAAAAAGGGGAAAAAAATTTGCAAAGTGCTTTTCCTGAAAACGTATGTTTTTAAATTTTCACTCGTATATTGTTTTGCAGTAAAACACTAAATGTTTTTGAACAGTCGTACCGGTAATTATCCCTTTGGTTGGTAAGACATCATACAATGCAAATGTATTATACAAGCAATTTTCAATAGCATTGAAATTGGAGGAAATCGTAGTAGCCGTTTTTAAAATCATATCTTGCGCAATCTTTACTCGTATTATAGTATATATTAGTAACCAAGATGTGACATTAAAAAATACTTTAAAACAACTGCCCAACGAACAACTAATTTCTACTAAAACTAACTTTATTTTCTATCAGTTAGTTTTTCAACTAACTAATAACTTCTATCAGTTACTTTTTAAACTAACTAACTTATAACTTCTATCAGTTACTTTTTACGGGACTAACTTATAACTTCTAACTAGTTAGAATTTTTGACTAACTTTCCCAACTATGCAAAACAGACAAATAACACTTTAGCTAAGATTATGTTATGAAACATAGAACAACATGGAGTAACCAATCCTACTTGACTTTATACTTGCAGACTCTCTGAGACTGCCTCGCCTCAACAATCTCACTCTCACCTTCCCTTCATCGCCTCTGCTGAGTCATGCAGCAGACCTGGAGGTTTGCAACTCCAATGCTCGTCCGTCGCCTTGTGAGGAACAAGCCATGTGTCAATGTGTCCATGTTGTAGAAGTGCCTTTACACACTCCTGTCGAACTGATGCTCATTGACCAAGGTACAATTAATTTGACATCATTGTTTCTTATCTGTTTATAGTATATCAGAATATATTTTAGTAAATCAGAAAAAAATATTGATCTATCTATGTTCAGCAGAATTTACACACTTTTTTATGGTGTTGGACTAATTTATAATAAATTAGGTATTCGAATCATTTTGTGTACAACAGTTACTTTACTGCAGAAAAAGTTTCCATCAAACAGTTTTACCATCCAAAAATGTCATGTATACAACAAATTAAAACTTGTATCTATTAGACTGATGTTAAAACTAAGTTAATTTCAAATTATGTTTAAATACTTTAAATTACAATTAAAAACAAAATATACCCCCGCCGCAGCAAACCTGCCGACTAAGCGAATTTCCATTTGTCTGAATTGATTTTCAGTTAAATATATTTTAATAACATTAGGTTTAAGGAGTACCTAGGTTTGCTGCTACAAGGAAACTAATAAAGTGTGTTTTTGAGTAAAATATTGGTAGCTTAGTACAAAATAAATAAATTTGCCAAGTTTAATCAAAATATATCCATAAACAAGCAAACTACAACATTTGACAACATTCTCCATAAGAATAACATGGGAATTTTAAATTTACAATTTTTTAAATTTTCTCCGTTACTAATAACCGAACAAAAATACTTTTATATACTAAATTATTTGTTTTTTTAAGCTCTTTAAAAAGGTCTATAGAGAAATTGGGAAATTTTGTGTTTTGAGGGTCAAAAGTGAGAAAAACCAATTTTTACCCCATAAAACCCCCCGTAAAGCCCCGTTCCCATGGTCCGATCATGCTGGTTCGCGAACTCATTCAAGTTTATCCCGCTTTACACATTTACACCAAATTTCATCAAAATCGGACAAAAATTACTCAAGTTATCGCGTTCACGGACGTATATATATATACATATATAAAAATTTGAACGAATGGTGTTTTTGGCCCCTGGGGACATCAAAATGAAAAAGTAAATCAGCCCCAGGTCTAGGTCTTACCGTGCCACCTACGGTAATAGCTACTTCCCTATAGGAAAATTCGCTAATACAAACATTAAAGAGTGTGCAACATTGTGAGAGTGACAATGTATTATCTATTTGTTATGCCCCATATTTAAATGAAGTAGCCCTGTTTTGAAGCTATAGTTCTGAAAGTGCCAGATATAGGGTACCTGCTGCCCCAGGTTAAATGACCTGAAGCGGTCCCCGCCCCTAAGGTGGAAATTCTCCTCGATTGTGGCAAAATTGTCAAAATTTCCCACAATCAAGGGACCATCATTACTGTCACCAGTAAACACAGAGAAATTGTTAATACCTTCTCTGAATCAATGGACCATTATCATTATTGTCACTTGCAACCACAGCAATAGTCACGAAGAAAATCTCCTATGGGTTCATTATAGTCACCCTCGATCATGGAGAAACGTGAACATTTTCCATAAATCAAGGGAACAACTTATAGCCACAACCACGAATAATGAGTCACTGAGTCATCATTATTGACACCCGCAGCGGCAACAAATTAATAGTGAAAAAACAAAAAAATCAAATTTTTTATGAAAAACTTGTTTTTGTGGAATGCACTGCACTCCCCTTCGGCATGATCGGCCTAGTGGTAAATCCACCACTGATTACTGACCATATTCAGTTTCAGTACAAGACTTTCTTAATCAATCACCAAATGTCTGTGTAGCTGAACAGATTACTAGTGCTCACCTATTAAATAGAATGTTACCGGTTTGTACCCTGAGAAATGTCCAGTTTTGTTCAGATCATTTGGCTTTAAATAAATGACCCTGAGTAAATACCCTAGTTGATCTGTCAGTAACAAAAAGCTTCATCTCATTCATCAAACACGTTGTGCATGATCGTTTACCCATCTTTGTTTTAAAAACCTATAATAATAATTATAGACCACTGAACCATGTGTGTTCAGGTGGTGAAGGATCCCACACATTCCACCTGCACGGCCACAGTTTCCATGTGGTGGGGGTGGCGGGGAGGGGGGAAGGAGTGCGGCGTGGTGCAGAGTATGGTAGACTGCCACGTCAACTACACAATCCTGTGGTTAAAGACACAGTCACTGTTCCTGCTGGTGGTGCTGTGGCTCTGCGGTTTAAGGCTGACAACCCTGGTAAGTTTTTATCCATTATTATTTTAATTTTATTTGCTATTTGGTAGCACTAAATTATATCTCTATTAAGTACCTATCCATTTTACCTCAGAGTTAGAGGTAATATTACACCAAAACCCTATAGTCCATTCAATTTTTTCATTCCTTCATAGTTTATGCCCCACAAAGATTGTGGTTTTTTCTACTTTATATTTCTAAAACACATTCTTACTAGGGGTTTTCTTTTCTCCTTTACCTGGTATTTAACTTATTAGGTGAAATCACAAATGAGTGAGAATTCACAGAACATAAATATATTTAAGAATTAAATACTTTGGTTTAAACATTTTTGTTTTTTCTGCCCCTGAGCTATTAGACTTAATAAATGGTTTTAAGTTACCCTTGTCGACCATTTGAGCTACTGACAAAGGTAACTTAAAACCATTTATTAAATACTTTGAACTGTACAACTAGCTATCACTTACACTTATGATTTCCTTACAATATATCTCATTTCTTATAAATTATTATCAACTGTAAATTTTAGGATTCGAGTTTGGTACTAATAATTGTGTTGTTAAGTGTATGCATATACGGTTTACAACTGATATTCTGAGTAAATATTGCAATATTACATATACGCATGTTCTCTGTTCCGCCCAGGTTACTGGTTGCTGCATGATGAGAGGTGGCAAGGGTTGGGGGTGATATTCCGTGTAGGCTCCACATCCGACACACCACCTCTGCCTGACAACTTCCCTACATGTGGCGACTTTGTAGGGCCAGAGTTCTTCCTAATTTAAAATAATCCTTCAGGAGAAAGAGTGCATTGCTTTACTAGGATTTGTAGCCCAGCAGAGTTCCAACAATCAGAAAACGTGCCTGAAAACTCTAAGGTGCTGTAGATTTCGTGAAACTGGAAATACTGTGTTAAGAGAACCACTGTGACTGATAAGCTAGGTATACATGGGAGCATTGCACCGCACTCTGTAACGCGCTTCAGATAAGCCTTTAAAACCCATGACAGCGTTGCAACGCACGTTGGATCAATTGTCTCATGGCATGTCCCGGTACAGCCATAAAAGTGGAAGAGGCCATTTCTGTTTGAGTTTGTACCATAGATATAAAAATGAAAACAAACTCAAAGTACCCCCGTTGCAGCTCTTTGCCCCCATACCACTCTTTACCCTAATCTATGAAAATATTAACTTGTTTTGTAATTACCTGAGAATACTATCTTCTACATATTTAACAAAAGTTCAGGTCTGTCTAGCACCTAGTGAGAACATTGTTAGGGATTAAATTTCAACGAAAAGAACCTCATAGTTACCATGAGTTAAGTTTGTTGTAAATTGAAGTAAACACACAGCAAACATACTTAAAACCTACTCCCTCCTACTCCAAAACGCACGTTCCAACGCTCACATGTGTATTAGCCATTAAAACCATTGTAGCTCAAGACAAAGCTTCTGCTAGCGGGCGTTGCACAAAGAACTAGTGATGGTCAAAACCAGAAATTTTGAATCTCAAAACCAAAACCGAAACTTAAAAAATCAAATCCCGAGTCTCGAATCTCAAAACCTGAACGTGAAATTTTTAGGTACCGTAACTGGTCAAGTTGTTAAAAATACAGGTACTGTAATGATAACATTTTCATTATGATTATGTGATCAAAACTGAAAGAGATTGACTCCTGATCCAGACATAATAACTATAATAACATAAATGTGACGGATAAACTTCAAACCTAAAATAACATACTTTTTTATAAAACAACTACGTTAACATTAAAATAAATGAAAACTCTTAACATTGAAATAAACATGAATATTACATTACGGTAATTAAAACATTTAGTGGCCAATATTTCTTTGTGTTTAAACAATTTTGAATATTGATATGAAACTGAATTGTAATAAAAGGTTAAATTACTAGGATAGTAGGTTTTAAGTATGTTTGCTGTGTGTTTACTTCAATTTACAACAAACTTACCTCATGGTAACTATGAGGTTCTTTTCGTTGAAATTTAATCCCTAACAATGTTCTCACTAGGTGCTAGACAGACCTGAACTTTTGTTAAATATGTAGAAGATAGTATTCTCAGGTAATTACAAAACAAGTTAATATTTTCATAGATTAGGGTAAAGAGTGGTATGGGGGCAAAGAGCTGCAACGGGGGTACTTTGAGTTTGTTTTCATTTTTATATCTATGGTACAAACTCAAACAGAAATGGCCTCTTCCACTTTTATGGCTGTACCGGGACATGCCATGAGACAATTGATCCAACGTGCGTTGCAACGCTGTCATGGGTTTTAAAGGCTTATCTGAAGCGCGTTACAGTGTGCGGTGCAATGCTCCCATGTGTACCTAGCTTATCTGTCACAGTGGTTCTCTTAACACAGTATTTCCAGTTTCACGAAATCTACAGCACCTTAGAGTTTTCAGGCACGTTTTCTGATTGTTGGAACTCTGCTGGGCTACAAATCCTAGTAAGATCCTAGTGAATTGTAAGCTGTTCCAGTATTTAACCCTTCCCGGACAGGCGAAATTGTGACATAGAACGGGAAAAAATTATAGGAAAAAATAAAAATTAATTTTCCTTATTTGTGTTTTGTTATGCAAGTATACATAAAATAAACACAATGGATCACTTAATAGGCCTACTGTCAAAATAATTTTTTACTCGTTTTTAACTATGCGGATATCGTATGAGTAGAAAAGCAGCGAATATATCTGCCACCCGTCTTTGAAGACATGACCATGACAACGTTAGGCAATAAATAAAACCCCTAACCCCCCCCCCCCCTGGATACGCCACTGGGTACCATCATATACTTTCAAAAGTATAACTCACAGTAAGTGTTTTCATAAACTCAGGATATAAAACTGAACTATGAGCTTTTGATGAATTTTAGATGTAAAATGTACATTCCGACTTTCAGTTTTATTCCCATGTTTAAGTTAAATTTAGCCACTGAGTCCACTGGTGTAAATGAAAGATTTTGTTTAAACACACCAACTTTTTAACCAAGCCAAACTGATAGAACAGCTTATTGTAAGCTATGACATCTTTTGTTTTTGTGTTATATTAACCTATCATTAGCAATTGAGGAGGAAACCAGAACCTTGACGGTAGAGTAATCACAATCAATGTGTGTCTGCTTCAACTACCTATGTTATTAAAAAAAAAAAAAAAAAAAAAACAGCTACAGCTGGTCTAGGCGTATATAGATGGGAAATTAATTGTCTATTTCAGAATCTAACCATTTCCTATTCAACTTATTTGTACAATTAATTGCATGATTACTGAATTGGAAACAAGCATAAGTGACCTTATTGCCAATTTAAAATTTCCTTACTGAACATTTAGGGCTTTCATAGAGATGTGTTTGTGATTTGGCCCTTCACAGAATGGAGCAAGGTGAGGTAGTGAGAAGCTCAAATAATAAAGACGGAAGACGTAACTATAGTCGTTTACTTGTCGGGTTGTAAATATTATGTCTCAATTGGTTAATGTTGCAAAGAATCCATGATATTTTTTAGGATAATTCATAGTATATTGAAGCAAAACTAAAAATGCAAAAGGCACCAAATTGTTCTAAATACATGACAATAAAGCTAGTCTTCTAATTTGACCTTTTGGATTGTAACCTTTTGGAAATATACTCCTACAGTAATATCAGGCCCGCAGTTTGCATGTGACGAGCTATGGGCCCGAGAGATATTTGTGCCTGCCCCCCTCCACCCCCCCCCTCCACAGAGAATTGTTCTCTTCCTTGCATCCCCAATAAACCTAAAACCTATTTTGCCTTTATTTAATCCAGAGGTTCTGAAACTTTTAAAGTTACAAAATGCAACAATTAGTACAGGGGTAAAACGTTTAATGTGTTTTACAAATAGAAGCAATAATAAAAATGATCAAATTTAAAAGCTTTACATTCAAAAATTGTATTTTTACCTTTGAACTGAAACATTTCAGTTTATAAATAAGGTGAAGAAAAAAAGTTCAGATTGAAAGTTCAAATTCATTTTGTAATTTAATAAGTAAAGTTTGACAAGACGTAAAATCTCAATAACTAGTTGTAAGTATTATTTAATGTAAATAATTTTAAAATTGAATAAGTCAATCTGTGATTATATATATATAGGCATTGTCTCAACTTTGTTTTATTGTAGTTTTATAAATAATTACTAAACTACTGTGTAAATAAAATTAAACTTATTTTCTACAAGTATGCATTTTCTTTTCCTGACCTCATTTCTGATGTCACAATGCCTAAATGCTTGTCACAGGATAAGTTCAGACGATGAGAAAATCTACCAGTTCACTTCAGAAGAGTAATTTTATTTCTCATTTTCAATTTTGTTTGAATTTTTCAATATGGTTAATGGAGAAAACAAAGAAACGTCCATCTTAAAACAAGTAATGCAAGTATTAATCTTGAGGGATAAAATCACACACAAAAAAAAACTACCTTTTTAAAATGTTATTTAATTCATAATCAAAAAGATACAAAATAATTTTGACCTGTCAGGACATCATCATTACAGCTTTTTACAAAAGTTACGCTATTAATAAAAAATAAAGGCAACCAGTCATAACTAGGATGATCCAAGGGGGGGGGGGGGGTTACACCGAGGGGTCAGGGGGCCCTCCCCCGGGTCGTTTGAAAATTAGACCTGCAAACTTGTGTTTTTAGGATGAAAGAGTATGAAAGAGATTTTTTAGTTGCAGAAACAAAATTTTTATTGTAAATAAATCACGTTCAGGGGGGGGGTTGGTTCAACCCCTAAACCCCCCCCCCTGGTTATGGGACTGACCAAATATATATATTTTCTTCATAATATTGCCAAACGGCTAAATCATTTTCCAAAATAAACTTAACAAATATATATTTTGTAATGTCAATTACTACATTATTTAATTCATATGTCATTATAGATGATTTTCATTTACCTTTTATAAAATGTTATGTGCAGTTTAGGGATTAAAATTGTGTGCAAAAGAACCAAGCATATTGGCTGCATTTATGCGAGTACCAACTGCCTCAATGTATTTCAAGTTACCTGAGGTATTTAACCTGGCCACCTACGCATCATGTAAATGCGGCTACATGTCACAAAACAGTCAAAGCACAACTGTTTTCTAACAAATTCAACTAAGAATATGTATAATATTGTGTTTATACTGTACTAAGTTTGGATGTTAAACGGTAATACAAAAATACTATATTTCCCTGAGACAAAGACTTAATTATTAGTAAAATTTAAAAGTAATAGAAACATGTTTTGGTAACTCTAATAGTTTGTACATTAGGCAATGTGAAAGCACTTTGTCATATGAAGTGTTACAATGGGTCCTCACTCTTGCGAAGCATTGATGAGAAAAGTCCCATCTTGTGGTTCAGCAGCTCTGCAGGACTAGCATCCTCCACAACTCTGCCTCGGTCCAACACCAGCACGCGGTCACATCCCAGCAGACCTGATACTCGATGCTGCAAACATATAAACTGTTATACACATTTTGGAGGCAGATAAGCTTAAAAAGGGAGGAGCAACTATTTCATTTGTGGGGCCAGAATCACGCTGGGCTCTGCAAGATGAAAGATAAAAAGATCAACAATTTGGGGAACTCTATGAGGATTTAGGCAAGCTAATGTCTCTTTTTATTGGGGTTTCAAAAACAGGAGATCTGTGACTGAATAAATGAGACTGAATTATTAGACTAAAAATAGACTAAATAGAACTTTATAAAGATTACTAACAGGATTTCTGACTGGACATTGCATACATATTAAGTGGACCCCACAAGAAAATCGGTGGACCTACAACACAAGAGTATGAATGGTGATTCTACCAATCAGAAGATGGAAACCCAAAACCATCAGTTGGCATTACGAGGCATTCAGAGATCCAAGAGTCTGGCTGTATCAGGTAACAATTGGAGATATTCCCCTGTGAGATACTGGATATTGGCCAGGGTTTAGGGCAGGTGTGGGTGATCTAGGCTCTTGGTAGGACTGGAGACAAATTTGGGAGGCGCGATAAATCTTTTAGGCCACAGTGAATTATTTCCCGATAAACTTAGTACTTACTTAGTAGGTATCAATATTGAATATGCATAGTTTAAAATTTATTTCTAAAACATTTGAATTATTGTGCAAAATAAGTTTCAAAATACATCACCAGCACTAGGAAGTTTTCAAAATGTTATGTCATGTCTATCATGTTATCTCAAGTATGACGTTTTGTGATACACTTTGAGAAATGAAGAAATTTAAAAGTTACCGCTATTGTGATGACTGTGCGGTCGGCGAAGGCTTGTGTTGCAACTTGTAGCAACCTAGCCTCAGTCACAGGGTCCAGACAGCTGGTAGCCTCGTCCATGACCAGTAGTGCTGCTCGATGCAGCACAGCTCGTGCCAGACACATCAGCTGACGTTGACCACAGCTTAGGTTGCTACCTCCCTCTCTCACTGGCCCATCTGTCCCATCAACAAGGTTTGTTATAAATGTTAAATTATATTACCATTTAAAAACTGTAGTCCAATTATAAATATTCTAATGTTTACATTTGGCATAAACTAGAATTTTTAATTATAAAGTCTAATAAGCCGTTAGGTTATCAGACCAAGCAATTAGTTAATGTTTATTTTGTTTAAGTTGAAAAATATCATCATGTAAATTATTTTGTTTTGCTACTAACCAAGTCCTCCGAGATCATTAGCGACAACATCTTTCATCTGTGCTACTTCCAGACTCTGCCAGAGTTCAGCGTCCGTGAACTGACCTTTCAGATCTAGGTTCTGTCTGAAAAAAAAACAAACACTTCATCCAAAGACTTTATATTTCAGTTGAACTACGGAGAAGAGTATTTAATTCGCTACATGACCTCAGC